TCAAGTGGTTTCACCTAAGGCCCAACTGCTTGTCATACAGAGAAGCTACTATCCTGGATACCATCAAGGCATTTGGACCTGTTCTATCTCCCTTGGCACAGCCTGTTACTCTATTAAGGGCATTTATGGTTACCCATGAACACCTGCTTCCTACTGAGCTGCAATGTTTCAGAGAAAGGCAGGTAAGGCCAAACCACCTCTCAGGTCTCCATGATCTAAAGAGAACACATGGTGATCACTCAGGGCAGGGAGTAATAGCACCCACACTTTTAAGAGAATCTGCCCCATTTTCTACAAATGACCACAAGACGATAGAGCTAATTTTCAAAGGACTGTGTAGTTTTTGAAAAAGCTTTTCAGGCTTACAGTAAACAGAGCCAAGACAGAACACTGTGACTTTTATGAGGGACCTTAAGAAACAAAAAAGTGAAGCACTTTTTCTATTTGGGAAAAAAAAAAAAAAAAGCCACAGCATCTTTCCGCCACAACAGGTAAGTGCTCTTTTTCAAAGTCCATGTGTACAAGTACTTTATAAGCTTGAGATGAGTTAAAAATATTTATTCCCTAAAGTGTCCCCCACATTGTCTCTTTTTATATTTCTCCCATCATCTCCTTTGTAAGCCAGAACAGAAAGGTACTATTCAGTTAAACACACTTTTTCAAGCTATTGCAGTAAGTTATATCTCTCATATCAACCAATGTATTGTAATTAATTTTCCATTATGTGCAGATTTCCTGCCAGAACACCAAGGATATACTCCTGGCAACTGGAGGAGATAAAGCATGAGGAACACAAGCAATTAGCATACTAAGTAATAACCTAGGCTCGGCCTCACTAGTCAAGAACCAGAGCTTGGGAGGCAATGGCCCTTCATGTGAGGCCTGACTCACTCCCTTGTAGCCCCATGACCTTGGGGAAATCACTTGACCTCTCCATCTCTTGGATTTCCTTCGCCAAACTCTTTCCTTCTCCCCAACTCTGGTTTCCTATGAATAGTAGTCCCTGGTTCATGTTAAATGTTAAACAAATGTTACTTAGAATTAATCTTAGCTATCAGACAATCTACGAGGGAAGGCAACAGATTTTAAAGGACTGTATGATATTACTACTATATTCAGGAATGGCAAAATTTCTTGATGAAACAATCATACCACTCTCTTATCACTTTTAACCAACATGGCAACACACAACACTCAACTGAGGGCAGAACATTCAAATGAAAACGGTCTCCACACAGTTAACATTATTAAACACTAATTAACAGTCTTCAGGAAGACTATTTAAGATTGAAACTATCAGAGAAAAGTCTGGGTGGTAACTACTGATTATGATAAAATCTTAACCTGGTGTTTGTTTTTTTGAGACAGGGTTTCATAGACGGGCCTTGAACTCACTTTGTAGCCTAGGCTGGCCTTGAACTAGCAGAGATTCTCCAGTCTCAGCCTCCCACGGGCTGGAATGACACCACCATGCCCAACCTCTAACTAGTTTCTGTCTTTGGCCATTTTCAGTCTGCAAACCAGTATTCAAACTTTACCCCAATGACCTTGCCCCTATATTAGGTTCTCCACAGTCTGGGTAAAATGAATGGTGCTCAACTGCTGACTATCTTGCTCATAACCCAGAGGAATGATGTAAGTAGGGATTAGAATGGCTAACCATTCTGCCTCACAGGAGCCTTATTTTGGATTTTAAGATACCGGGAGTGGACTGACAGACCATTCTGTGACGTTGGGGATCATGCAAATGGGTTAATCCCCAACTGAACACCAGGTAGTAGTCATGACCCACTCTTTCCTCTCTGCAATAAGCATGTCTTTGTTCTTCTTTTCTTCTAATACCTCGCGTGTAGATACAGAAGCTCTATGGATAACCTTAGAGAGGACTATCACATTTTCTTCCCATTAATAATGCAGCTATTTTCTACTGTGCTCTATTCTCTACTTTGTTCATTTTCCTGGAAAATCTCCACCTAGGCCTACTTACCCAATTCCCTCAAGTTTCCATCTGTCCTTTATCAGAAAAGGCCGCATTTGTAACACAGAAGTCACACAAATAGTCTCCCAAGCCCAATTCTATTTTTCACAATAGGAACTTACCAAAGAATGTGGATCTGAGCACTGGTCTTCATATTTCACACGCAAAAGGTACCAAATTACAAGGTCCTTTTCTAGTTGCTGTATTGTTTTCTTAAGAGCAAGGTCTTACTTCTTCCTGTAGGCTCTTTCCAGTGGACAGAACTTTGCTATTTTGACTTGTCAATTACTCTCCTACCTCTTTTTCCTTTTCCCATCCAAGTGGACTCTCCTTCCCAGCAAATTTCCACTATATAATTACAGCAATGCTTTAGCCTACTTTTCTGTTAGCTTAACAACCCTGTCTATTTTCTACTTGTGCTGATGCTACTGTTTGCTTTTCTGACGGCCTAATCCATGTATCCTTTCCAGGCCTAACTTCCCCTACCATGAGAGCAGCTGGAGCTCTAATTCACAGGTGCCTTCCAAAGCTTTTCATTAGCAACAGAAATGAGATGGTTTAGAAAGCCATTTCTTAATCCGCAGGTGAGTACTGGAACCTTTGTGCAGCAAACATCTTTCAAGTATCCCACATTGTGCCACTGCACAATTATTTTCTGAGTAATAAGTACAATATTACAGGCACATTTGTAGTGTTAACAGGGAGAATGTCCCCTCTGAGGAAATCAGCTTTCACCCCCCTTATCCCCTAGCAGGTCCCAGCTCAGCTCAAGACAGAAGCCCTGAGCAGACAGGAGCCAAACTGAAGAATAATGGCTCTGCCTTCTTACATCTGAATAAAGAAGAATTAGAATCCAAAATTCAAGGGCCTTAGCTTGTGTTCTGGTTCAACTGGCCAAACAACAGCTTAGGCAGTGAGTGTGGCCTTCCCCAGCTGGGCTTTGTGGCAGATAAGTCTCTCCACAAATCCTGGGCTTAATTACTTCTGATACAGTTGTCCTGCCTGGGCCTCCAGCTCCTTTTGTACTTCAACCAATCTGGATCCAAAGGAAAGTTTCGCTTATTTACCTTGGGCAGATGCCTAATTTCTTACTACATGATCCTAAGACATTTAAATCAGGATCTACTGCTTCCTAGTGATATTTCCCCTATCTTTCTTTGCATGGTGCATGCTAAACGTCTATTTGATCATTTACAAATAACATCTGGAATTATACAATCCTCATCTTCAAGAGTTTATTTAGTTTTTTGACACGAATTCTTACCACCCTCCCTTCACCCCAATGGACAGGTTGTACTCCCTGAGTGAAGATGGGGGTTAAAATGGGAACAAGCACAGCATAAGTATTTTATTAATATCCAGAAGCAACATGCAGTGAACTAAACAAGCAAACACATGAAAGCAAGGAAATCAATACCAAAATACCCATGACCTGGCATGAAAAGAAATTCTCTCCAAGAATAACTCAAGAAGAAATGTCTCCAGTTAAGAATTAGAAAAGAATGCTTTGAAGCCACCCAGTAAGCTGCTCACCAGAAGCAAAAGACAATGCACCTGTAGATGACAATACCAGCACCCTTTGTCACCACATCACTTTACCTCTCTGAGCTGGACAAAAATCAACTCTGTGTTGAAGGCACTCACATAAAGACCTCAAATATCTTATGGACACTTCAACTGATGAGGCTAGAAGGCCTTGGGAAGAAGGTAACTTTCATGACAGCACTGCCATGCAGAAGATGTAAATCCAAATTACCTCCAAAGGGCTTTCTCATCTATTATCTGTACAGTCCTTCAGATACAAAGTTCAAGGAGAAAGCTTCCTAGCAAACCGAAAACACAATCTAAATTCCTAAAAATCTACTTTGCTGCCTTTGGAAACTTCTGCTAGATCTGAAGAATCCTGGAGACAGTTTAGCTTACAATTATCTTCTTTCCAATGGCTCCCCCACCCCAAACTTTTTTTCTCTTCCTTCAGCACTGGCATGCAAACCATGCTGTTTTAACTTCTTTCCTGTTCTCCCAGTTCTTCTGGAACATTTTATTTTCGACAGTCAACTCATTTGGAGGAGTGCCACGCTGAGGTTCGGCTGTTTACAACGTTCACTGTGTTTCCGCCAGAAGTCCACAGCCAGCACTACCTTCTTCAGCCTGCCTCCTGGATTAAGAATTTATGCATTCATTTGGAAGAAGCTTAGCAAATGTGGAACCTTCCAAACACCACTCTTCCTCCTTACAGAATGCTTTTGCTTATCCAAGAGGAAACAGAAATGAAACCCATTTCATCCTTCCCAGAGTCCTCTCCTATCATCCATAGTTAAATATTGCTTATGTTGTTAAATCATTTTAATTATGACTTTATGGACAGTGGGGAAAGCAGGAAGCCACTGGTTGACAAGAGAACACTGGTCTCAAAGAAGACACAAGGAAGGCATATTTCTGAATGACTAGAGAACCATTGAAAATCACCACTAACTGTTTGAGACTTTATTTCACCCTCTCAGTCACTCATCAGCATTACAAAATGGTGTCTCTGAGAGAAGCCAATTTAAATCTGTCCCACATTGCAAAACAGATCCTCAGAGTCCAATTCTGGGCACTTTTGTAAGTTGCAATAGACGCAGACAAATTTCCAAAGAAGGGCATTTGAAAAGATCTTCCAAGCCCTGGAAGATAGAAGGAGAGAGAAGAATAGGAACAATTAAGAGAACCACATAGCCACAAACCCAGTAGCTGAAACCTGACTGAAAATCACATGAACAAAGTCAGTCTCTAGATCTATGACTGAAATACACCATGCCCAGCTCGGGATCCCCCAAAATGTTCAATTCAATTAACAAAACCCATACTCCTGCCCCAGAGGTGTATGCAGGACAGCAGCTTCTCAGAGAGCCCTGGACTCTCAAGAGTACAGCTGTTTCACAATGTGTCAGTCAAGTGCAATTGGGGTGATAGAAAGGGCACTGTGCTGCAGGTAGGCCTGAGTTCTAGGCCTGGCTTTCTTACAGCTGAACTTTCTCACCTTGATCAAGTCACTTCACGTCTTTGTGCCAGCTTCCTCTTCAGTAAAGCGAGGGTGCAGAGAGGATATTTGAGGTATATTATCTAAGGCATAAGAGGGAAAAAAAATACCTAGCTTTTAAATTGGAAGGTCTGCCTGACAGTATTAAACATTTTACATTCCCCTCACTTATCATGAACTCACGGTGTACATATTTATCAATTTTTAAATAACTTCCTGTGAATTTTTACTTGGGAAATAACATTTTGTCTATCATCCCAAAGTCTCAGCTCATGTTCCCTGTTCCTTAGAGGGTTTTTTTCATATTATTCTAAATGCCTTTTTTTCTTTTCTTTTCTTCCTTTCTTATTTTTTTAAGCAACCTTCCCCAAACTAAGAGTTGTGCTATTAAAAGAGCTTAGAACTTCCCATTTCCTTGCTAGGGCTAAAATTAAACTGTCCATTCCTTAGGGCCCAACATAACATCTGCCAGATGTCCTGGCATATCACACAGGAATTTTCTTCTAGCATTATCTACTCTCTTCTGTTTTCTCATAATCAATTAATAGGTCACCAAAACTCAGCTAATGTTTCTCCCAGAGCCATCAACTTGTAAGGATGTGAATCTCACCAGATACTTGCCTTCATAAACACACACACAAGCTGATCTATTTTGCAGCTCAGTGAATTTTACCTATAGATCCTGGCAATCTTCTCTCCCACCTTCTTTTTGGAATTTCAGTAGTTTCCATATACTAACTCAGCCAGTCATAAACTCAGGTCAGACCCTTTGCAATCTGAATTCATTATTTATGTATTTCTTAATCTATGACTGCAGCATTAGGAAATAGCACTGCTCTTCTCCAGTCATTCAGTTGAAACTATTCCAGGCAGCTTTGTCAATTTTCTATCCCATGACATAGTGAACTATCAGTCTGAAAAAGGCACACCCCACCAAGAAGATAAGTAAGGTTACCTTAACCAAGGAATCTCAGCATCCAGGAATAACTCAGGGCAGATTAGACGCTATTACACTCCATCATACATGAAACAGGGCATTCCTGAAGCAACCTTACCACTCCCTTCCTTCAAGAAAACCAACCACAAGTACTTTAAAGCCCATTAGTAGAGTTGGCTTCCCCCCCCCCCCAATCTTTCAGAAGCCTCATTAGGAATACACATGGATTTTTGTTTTGGTTTATTTTCCCTCTAAAAGTTGCCTCTACCTGGGATAGGAGTATGGATTTAGATGGGTAAGTCCTCAGGGAGTATAGTCAGTGAATCAGACTGATACAAAACCGAGAGGAGAAATAGTATGGAATATGAAGATTCCACAAGTATCTCTTGTATGGCAGTGCCCATCATAGTTTACATATACTTCTTCATAAAGATTTCTTTTGGGGATATATTAAAAGTATGACAAAATTGTGCACAATGAGCTTTATGAACTTGATGTCTTAAAAACAAAAAAGATCTTTAAACTTAGACAGCAAGTGAGAATGTTCAATCTGGCGCTCTTATTTCTCTCATGGTGATGCATTCAAAATACCTGTCCCAGTTCAAGTACGTATATTCTAGAAAAAAACTCAAGAAACCATGCCTTTAAATAGTATGGTGCTTGCCATGTTGAGGAAGTTCAACAGCTATGGCTGTGTCTCTTCAATTACCACTTAGAACATATTCTCCAAAAGCCTCTTGCAGACATTTTTTCCCTCCAAAAAAGTTCATCTCTAATACCATCTATAAAGATGCTAAAGTTGCTGGTTGTAATATGAAAAATACAGTGAGTCAAATTGATGGACAGACAGTTGTCACTTATTCCCCCACTGAAATAAGTGAATGAACCATTTTTCCAGCTAATAGTAACAACAAAGATACCATAAAAGTTTGTTTCAAGATCAACACATAGTGTATTTGTTTAGATAAACACGTATAACCAGATGCAAAATTAAAATCATTTTCCCAAATAACTCTCTTTACCCACTATGTTTGAGCTTCCAAATTGGAACACCAGCATTCAGATAAGCATTGGCAAATTTAAATACAACAGTGATGACATTCCACTTAAGAACAAAAGTAATGGTAGTAAAAGATAGCATTCAAAAATGAAGAATGAAAGGTATGGTTACAGGCAAGATTTTTTTTTTAAATGCTCTTGGAGAAGCTTAGATTTCCAATAAAGCAGAGACCTAAACAGAAACATTTTTAAATAAGCATGCACATCAACTGAAAACCAAATATCTTCTACATCTATGAAATGAGGGTTTTACTTCATTGACCATGGACAATTATCAGCTAAAGAACCATGTTCCCCTTCTCCTTTAACACCCTTTAGAAGAACAATAACCCTCAATTAATGACACAATAGTTTGGTTTGGAAAAAATGTGATGTTGTCATATACAGCATTGTGCATTTACTGAGTGACACTGCTACCAGCTACTCAACAGAATATAATTATATCTGGAATCGAAAACCACTTCAATATGCACAGAAATATGTACACATAGGGAACTTCACACACAATAATCTGACACATAATCAGAAAGCAAGAGAGAAAAAAGCTGGTGCAAGTCGCTCACCAACATGTTCCTTATTTCTGTTGAAGCTGGTACCTTTCTGTATTTCTCCTCAGTTGAAAGCAAAGTCCAATTAGTCCCCTCAAGATACATTAATTGGTTCTGAAGCTTCTCCAAGTTTTCACTGTGGAGTGCTCCTCACCTATCTGTAACAGTCCATCTAAAATTCTTCCAACATCTTCCCTCATCCTTAAGATGGCTACCTACCTTATCTAATGGAAAAGCAACATCTTCATGGTTGACTTTTATAAATTTCTGAAGCATTTTACAATTAGTTCTTTACTTGAGTCAATTACATATATTGTCTAGAGCTAATCTGTGAAGGGCTCCAAATCAACGTGTGTGGACTAGGATAGGACAGGGTCTTTTTTTTTCAAATCATCTTCACAAAATGTCTTCCTACAAGATTAATAAATTCTTCTAATAAAAAGATGAAGACACTTGGACATAAGATTTTCTCAACTGACACAATTTGTTTCCATAGTGACACTGTTAAGTTAGACACACTGATATTCCTGAAGACTTACAGTACTTGAGAAGACAGGGGGAAAAAATAGCAGGAGAGGGAAAGGGGAAACAAAGGAGCTAAAAGAAGGCCTAACATACAAATGGAAAAACCTGAAGAAAAATATAGAACCTGGAGACACTGTTGTTAGCCAGTTTAGAGTTCCTTTGAGATCTTGCAGGAATATTTTTCTTTCTTTTCTAGAAAAAAAAATTTTTTTTTCAGAAATCATACCCAACCAGACAATAAAGTCTTGCAAGGCCTCAAACATGATCACCAATCCACAGAACTCAAAACATACAAAAAAAATTCTCAGCTTTGGACCACCACCATCTGCACAATGAGGAAATAACATTTCCTGGTGACTTTCAGGAGACCAGGAATAGTTTTACATTGTGAGAAGACTTCAGTAGAAACGTTTAAGGTTTTGCCTTGCTTGTCCTGAAGGAGGTCAAAACCTTTCAGGTCCACTCAAAAGGAGAAAAAAAATTCCAAAAGTTTACTTTAAAATGGAAACAAAAGTCTCACTAACTTGTGAAAACACTCCTTGGGTGGGAGAAAAATGTGAGGAACCCCCAGAAGCCCTCATTTTCTTGCTTAATGAAGAGAGTGTGGAACCACCACCAGGTCTCTCTATGGACAAGGAGAAAGAGTGGGCAGGCAAGCCTCCTCCTCCAGCCATCACCAACTGAGCTTCAAAATGGAGACATCTATAATTTCATAAACACTTCTCATCTCAGCTTTGTCTCCTGGAAACCCGCTCTCTCCTCCATTTTCTGGTGGAGTTACAAGACACAGCTTACCTGACTCAGTTCCCAGCTCTCAACCAAACTAGTCACTTCCTCCAAAAACCTCCAGCAACCTCCAGAAACAAAACCAAAGCAAGCCAAACAGCCAACACAGACACTCAGACACAGCCCCGGGGGACCTAGGAGAAAGCCCCAACTGGTTGGTCTTTCCCCATCCCAGTCGCGTGCTTAAAAATGAAACTTTTTTTTTTTTTTTTTTTTTTTTGGTTGGGGAGGAATATAAAAGGAGCTCTCCAGGCAGCCACCCTCCTTCCTCCCTCTCTGTAGGTTAGAAGCTACAATGAAAAGAAAATGAGGGTTCCTTCAGGAATGGTGAACAGCCTGGAGAATGAACGTGAGAAGGAGCTTTGTGTTTTGGAGTCTGGACTGGAACCAAAGCAGACAGCTTGCAAATGGAGGACAGGGAGATAAAGAAAGGGAAAGAGAGGGGCTGCTCCAACGAGGGGGCGGCCGCGGCTTCCCCTCGTGCCTGGAAGGGGGGCAAACCCCTGGGAACCGCACCAGGAGTGAGACGCCCCCCCTGGCCCCTGCCTGCCTTTCTCTCCGCCTTAGAGGAGAGCCAAGCGTGTGTAATGGCTTCTCCTCTCTAGAAACCGTTGTCCTCCTCCACCAGACGCTTCTGAACCTCCAGCCTGGAGACAGCTCCTCAGCTGCGCCTCAACCTGCGCCCCCAACACCACCCTGCGCCCGGCCTTTCCTCGCCCACGGCGGCGACAGCGGCCACCCCCGCACACATCCCGACCCCGCATCCCAACTTCGGGGAGAGAGAGGGAGACAGAGAGAGAGAGAGAGAGAAAGAGAGACAGAGACAGAGACAGAGACAGGGAAAGGGACAGAGACAGAAGAGAGCCAGCCAAATACCTGAGGAAGAGAGGGGTGCCAATCCGCACGGCTTTGCCATCGGCGGGGGACAGGCAGACAGGGGGGAAAGGAAGGAGAGGGACAGAGAGAAGAAAGAGGTCAACCCGCTCGGGTCGGGGCCGCTGCTCGCGGTGCTCGCTGCCCTGACCCGCTCGCCCGCCGGCCCGCGGGGCTCGGGCTGGGGTCCCCTGCCTCCCGCCCTCCGCCCCCTCTCCCTCTACTCCGGTCCCCGCGCCCGGAGCATCCGTCCTAAGCCTCCAGCTCTCTTCTCACTCATCTTTCATTTTCTCTTCTCTTCACAGAACTACGCGAAATTAATTAAGCCACGGCGCTCCCCCCGCCCCCCCCGCAGGAGGCGCAGCCAGCAGGAAAAGCACAGCCACCTCCACCGCCACCTTCTCCTCCTCTTCCTTCGGCTTCTCCTCCTCCTCCTCTTCCTCCTCCCCCTGCTGCTCTCCCTCCTCCCCCTCCTCCTCCTCTCTCGCTCGCTTCTTCTCTCTTCCTACAGCCAGCCCGAGCCTGCAGGGGACTCCCTGCGCTCCCTGCTCCCCAACCCTCCTCGGCCGAATGAATGAGCGCGCCGGTGCCTCCGCCGCCCCGCGCTCCCCTCCCCGGCGCACTCGGACCACCCGGAGGTGGCGGTTAATTGCAGTAACTTACAGAAGAAGCGTCCCGGCGCCGGGAGGTGCTTCGAGTTCTCCAGCCCCACCGCCTCCTTATCCTCTTTCTCTTTCTCCTCTTCCTGCTTGGGTTATTGTTGTGGAAGTTGTTTGGGAGTCTCATGTGCTCCTGCCGGGTCTCAGCAATGGAGGATCGCCATCTTCCCTGCCTTCCGCGGCTCCTCAGACTCGCTGCAGCGGCAGATGACCTGAGATATCCGTCTCTCTCCCTCTCCCACTCTCGCTCCCTCCCTCTCCCTCTCACTCTCTCCCCTCTCTCCGCTCTTCTCTCTCCTCTCCTCCCTCTCCCTCGCGCGCTCTCTCTCTCCCTCCCTCTGTGTCTCTCTCTGAATAATGAGCAACCAGAGGGAGAGAGAAAGCAAGACAGAAAGAGAGAAGGAAGACAATCTTCTCCTGCCACACAAAACGCCGGAGCACCAGGGGGTGCGCGAAGCCTTTCTAATAACAACAACAACGTGCAGGAGAGAGGAAGGGGGAAACAGAAAGAAAGAGATGGGGAAAGGGCTGGAGCGGGGGGCCAGGGGCCGGATTATCCAAGAGCTGGAGACTCGCAGGAGGAGAAGCTGGAAGAGATGCTGAGGCTCTGCTGCCGTCCCCCACCCCCCTCCGCCGAACCCCAGAAGGAGGCAAGGTGGTTGCAAAGTTAAGGCTGGGACATTGTCTTTGTCACTCAGAGCAACACAGAGCCAGGCCAGTGAGATGCAAGAGGAGGAGGTGGCGGCGGCGGAGGAGGAGGAGGTGGTGGAGGAGGAGGAGAAGGAGGCAAAGGAGGAGGAGAAGGGGAAGAGGGAGATGAGATGAATAAAGACCTGCGGAGAAGGCGGTGCGAGGAGCGCGGCCGCCGGGGCCAAGGCGTGCGCGCTCGCGTCCCGGAGGCATCCGGCCGCCCCGGCCGGCAGAGAAAGCCCCCAGTGCGGACCCTGCCCGCCGCACATAGCGCTCCCACCGTCAGCCCTGCCCGAGGCACCCAGCCCCGGCCCCACAGGGTCCCTCGCACGCATCCATCAAGAGGCCAATCTTTGCAAAGAGCAGACGCGGCGAACTGGAGGTTGCAAGTCTAAGCCCAAATCAACCACGTGGGGCTTTTTAATTCCTTTCCAGCTCGCGGTGTGAGTATCTCCAGTGGAAAGCTCAAGTTGTCCACTACTGGCACGAATTTTGAGGTCGCCTCCCCAGAAATAAAGGCTCATTGTGCGTTTTATTTCTTTCTGATATAGGAAGGGGGAGGGAGGATGGGAGACGGAAACAACCCATCATTTTGAGTCTCGGAATCACCACTTTCTTTGCCTAACTTGTGAAATGTTTTGACGGCGCACCAAAAGGAGTGGGGGCTACTTAAATAACTTTACACCCTCCAGCCCCGCGATGTTTGCGCTTTCTGGCTGATCATCTATAAAGGCTTGGAAAGTAACAATCAGTGCTCCTAATGATAAGGTGTCATGTTGAAGACAAGAGAGCCAAGATGAAGCTTTCACACCTTGAATTTTTATTTTGTGTAATTTCTCCTGAACTACCTCTTTGCAAAAGAGTGGGTTTCCATCCCCTCTCACCAGGTCGCATGTCTCCTAAGGCTTTAATCTGAACGGGGGGAGGGGCTTAGGGAGAGTACAGTATCAAAAAAAAAAAAAATCAATGCAGCAAGTCAGGAGCAATTGAAGTTCAAGGGCATGGGCTGGCGGTACTATTTCTATTTCTCAAATCCTTGAATTGGACATCAACAGCCTCGGGAGAGAGAAGCACGCTGCGCGCGGGGCAGAAACCTTAATTAAAGTTTCTTTTGTCCGCGTCTGAATTGGGGGATGTTGCTGGATTCCTTTACATAGAAGAGCGCGCATCCGGTGAAGGCGCGGTGTTCAGGATCCTGGGCAAGACCGTTCTCTCCGACATGCGCCCCTCCCTTCCCCCCAACAGTCCGGTACTGGCAGATGAACCCGTAAATCCGTACAATAAAGGAGGAAGAGGAGACGCACTCAGAGTTGGTCCCCATCGGATAGCGGGGTGTCATAAACAGGTTTTTATCCTCATTTTCTATGATTCCCTCCACCTCCCGGACTGTATATTCCCGGGCAGAATCTCACACCCTGAAGCAAGATTTCACCCCCTTCCAGTCAACACTTCCTGCCCTTTTCTCCTCCCACTCACATTGAAAAGCTCAGGAGTCCTAAAAGGGTGTTGATGGCGGGATGATAAATAAATAAATAACACTACGCGTGCGGGGGGGGGGGAAAGAAAGGTGGGGGAGGGAGAGGGAAAAAAGAAGTAGGGAGAGGGGAACAAGGAGGAGAAAGGACACGAGCGAAAGGAAAACGCGAGTCAAAGAAAGAGCCTAGGGAAAGAAGAAAAGGCAGGAAGCCGGTGAGCTGCTCTACGCAGGAAAGACCCTGGCTTTGTGCAGAACCGAGAGGATCCCCCTCTAGGGGCCCCCGGGGACCTGGGAAGTTCTTCGGGCCGGGCTCCTCCCCGCCGGGACCCCAGGGGTGTCTGAGCGCTGGCCGCCGCTGCCCCATAAATTCCTCGTGGCAACCGGAGGAAGCGCGCTAGGTCTCCGCCGTCCCCTCAGTGTCCCGGCTGATAATTTACCTCTTTGTCTTTAATAAAAAGCTGACTTTTCTTGTCAAGCTCTTTACTGGGAAAATAACAATCGTATTTCAGGTTGAAAGCTCCTATTACTGCCGGTTTGCAGAGGCTGCGATAAAATCTTCCTCCTGGACGTGAAGGTACCTTCTGGGTTGCTCGGGTCGGAAGTGCTAAGACAGGGGCCGCCCTTCCCCCGGGGCGTTGGGAAGCGGGCGGTAGGGAGGGAGGAAGGAGCGACGAGGTCAGAGGAAACCTTGAGCTTCCAGGCTCCCCGGGCATCCAGGGCTTTCCGCAGTCGGGGAATGAGCCCCGGGGAGGAGCCTTTCTCGGGAACGCGAACGCGCCCCAGCAAGCCTCCGACCTCGTAAACCCACTTGGCAAAGACCGGGGAAGCCGCTGGCGAATCGACTGCGGTGAACTCAAGAAATTAACCTGCGCTACAATTAAACGGGCTGCCGCCCTTTCACACTCACCTCGAGCGACCGAGATAGAGAGAGCTCGCGAACCGGCCGCGGGAGGACCTGGCTCCACCCTCCCGTCCCAGAAGAAGAGGACAAAAAGGGGAGATGGACTTGGAGATGGCCCCGCCCTTCAAACGCTCCAATCCTTGGAAACCAGACCTCCTCTCCAAGCTTCCACGTCTAGAAGGGACAAAGACGGCGAGGAGATCCTGAGACTGATGTGGAGATGGTGGCTTCCCGGGGCTTCTGATGTGGGTCCTTGGGGAAAAGGTACAATCCAGTCCAAATAGGGCTCCATGGGATGATCTTAAGAAGACCAGTCGGTCTTCTGCTTCAGAAGCAAACTGACTTCCCAAAGCTGTGAAGCAAAGTATTGCAGAACTCCCTCCTCCTACCCCTGCCTTTTTAATGTGGCAAGGCTGAAATTTCAATGGATGTCACACACATTTTTGTAGGCTTTGAGAAGTCTCCAACTCAAATAACTGAAAGAAACGAAACATAAGGGGAGTAAGGGTTTGGTCGTTGGATTTTATTTGGGATAGTTGTTCAAATGATAGAAGAACAACTGGGAAAAGGTGAGGAGGACAGGGAAAGAAAGCTCTGTGACTGAAGGTTTTAGTGAAAACCTTAATAAACTTGGCACTTAAGTAGCCATAATTACACTTTGCCATTAGCAGGCCATTTAGATAAGCAAGAGAGAGTTCACACCTCCTGCTATTTCATTCCCAAGGAATATTCACAAGGATAATGCAAGTCTAGTTGGCAGGTTATCTTCTCCATCAGGAGGTTAATGTTTACATTTTTTCATTAAAATGGAAAAGCCTTTTACATACAGCCGACAATGTGAAGGAATTCTTATAGAAACATGTTGACTTCTTGGTATTTACCTTTTGTACCCTATCTATGTTATTATCTCTGAGTCAGATGGGATTTCCAGGCTTTATTAATGGCCCAGGGATTAAGAATATGTTGAAAGTCTGAACTTTCTTTTCCTTTATCATGGGTGACTGGCATACAGACTCTTCATAAAGAGAAATTATGGCTCATCAAGAGAGTGACTTTATGAGCATTAATAGAATAATAAATCTTGAATTTCAGTTCAAGAAACAGTGAAGTCTTATAAGCAGAGTGACCCATGCAAATATGATCTACTTACTTGCCTAACACTAGCAGGAGAGGGATGATGTATAAATCATTTTGATTATTAAAGACTCAAAGAAGAAAGGCACCCAAATCTCTTAAAGAAAAGGTGTTTATGAAGAGAAAGGGTTTCTACAAAAACCTGCAGGAAGGGCTCATGGGAAAAAAAAATGAAGAGTTGCTAAAGACTCTGTTCAAAAGATTTTCAACTGAAACAAAGAGAGAGGTTCTGATGGCATCATTTAAGTATTATGGTCTATAGTACAAAACAAGGAAAATTCCTCCTGCTTCCTGAAAGCTATACCCTCCCAAGAGTCTAGTTGATAGCTCCACTTCCTAAGTTCCAGCCAGAAGACTATTCAAGCTGATGATTTTAGCAAAAACAAAGACTAGGTGAATACAGATTATGGCTTTTTCAGAAGTCTTCATTATTCCACCTTTAAACATTTAACCATATTGTTTCATACTTCTTAACTTGCTGGGACGTCTCTGTCTCTGAAAACTCTTTCTATGCAATTCAACATAGTCCTTTCGCCATTTGAGTTTGTGCCTTTCAGACGAGAATGGGTGTGTTCAAGGTGGTTTGGCCATAGACAAGTGTGTGATTTTCAATATTTTATTTATGTTGAATTCTTTATATCTTTACTTTTTCTGAGAATATTGTCTTTAAAAAGGTTTTCTGAAAATTTCACATCAGATAATTATGGAACTCCCTCCAAATTTAAGGCAGTAAAATCACTGGCACACCTTTCTGATCTCATATAGAGAATTCAGTATATAGTCATAACCCAAATTAAAACATATATATCTGGTTAACTAATGTCTATTCTTAGGGAGAAGGCACTAAAAGAAAAGGCAGATGATTCTTAGTCTTGACTAGCTCTCAAAGGAAGAAAAAATATAATGGCTTAAACTTATGCTGTGTAAATATTTACATACCTTTGGATACCAGAGAAGATATTTCAGTAACAATAATCTAAATTTCAAAAGGAAGTCTTGTTCCCATAGATAAAAGCTAAATCTATGGTTCTATCAATCTGGTAACTATACCATGAAACATGTAGTATTTAACCATTGA